CCCCCCCATCCATTCCTTAACTCCCTTTCCTTAACTCCCACCCATTCCTTACCCCCTCTTCCCTTAACACCTCCCATCCATTCCTTAACTCCCCTTTTCTTAGCCCCCACTCCTTTCCTTACCCGCCATCCATTCCTTACTCCCCTCCTTTCCTTCCCTACTTACCCATTTTTTTAGCATAGTCTGATGTTCTCTTTCCCCTTTTCATAACTTAAAAAGCCTAACTAAGCAAAGAAATCAAGGCCTCAAGTGTTGTTGATTATTCTGTTCAAATTAACCACCCCATCTAGTAGCTCCTTTCCTCAAGACCTTCTTCTCCTTACCCCCCATCCCACCTTAACCCCCTAGCTTCTTTCCTTACCCCTCCCCTTTCCTTACCTCCCCCCTTCCTTAACCCCATCTATTCCTTACCCCCCTTTTCTTAGCCCCAGCTCCTTTCCCTACTCCCCTCATCCATTCTTAGCCCCCACGCCTTTACTCAACCTCCCAGCTCCTTTCCTTACCCTTCCTTGCTCCCCCATCCATTCCTTAACCCCCCCCTTGGCATCCATTCTTTAACCCCCTCCTTCCCTCCCTCCCCACCAGGTGACAAGGCCTTCGCGCAGTTCCTGACGGATGAGATCAAGGAGGAGAAGAAAATCCAGAAACACAAATCCCTGCCCAAGGTGTCCGGGGGGTGGGAGCTGGAAGTCCATGGCACAGAGGCCAAGCTGGTGCGGAAGATCGCGGGGGAGAAGTAAGTGTGGCCTCGGAGGGGCTCGTCGGGGCAGCCCCTGCGCCCGAGGGGGCGGGTGGATGGTATCACATTGCCCCTGGAGCTCCTGGTACTTGTGTTGCTCTTGGTCCAGCCTGTGCCGATTGCGCCTTGTGGAGGCTCTTTCATCATAGAATCATAGAGTTGTCTGGGTTGGAATGACTTTTAAGATCATTGAGTCCAACCATCAACGTAACTCTGATAAAACAATCCTCTGATAAAACAAACCCTGTCTGTAAGCGCTAGGTCAGCCCATCTTTTGAACATCTCCAGGGATGGTGCCTCAACCCCTTCCCTGGGCAGCCTGTTCCAAGGCTTAATAGCCCTTTCAGTGGAAAAGTTTTTCCTGATATCCAGTCTGAACCTCCCCTGGTGCAGCTTGAGGCCATTTCCTCTTGTCCCATCACCTGTTCCTTGGGAGAAGAGACCGACCCCCCCTGGGTACCCCCTCCTTTCAGGGAGTTGGAGAGAGCGAGAAGGTCTCCCCTCAGCCTCCTTTTCTCCAGGCTGAACACCCCCAGCTCCCTCAGCCTCTCACAAGACTTGTTCTCCAGACCCCTCACCAGCTCCGTTGCCCTTCTCTGCACCCGCTCCAGCCCCTCAATGTCCTTTTTGTGGGAAAGGGCCCAAAACTGGACACAGCCCTCAAGGTGGGGCCTCACCAGTGCCCAGTACAGGGGGATGGTCATCTCCTGAGTCCTACTCCCCACACTGTTCCTGACACAGGCCAGGATGCTGGTGGCCTCCATGGCCACCTGGGCACACTGCTGGCTCATGTTCAGCCGACAGGTGACCAACACCCCCAGGTCCTTTTCCTTGGGGCAGCTCCAGCCGCTCTGCCCCAGCCCTGTGGCGCTGCAGGGGGCGCTGCAGGTGTGACCCAAGGGCAGGACCCGGCACTTGGCCTTGTTGAGGGCCTCCACTTGCTACTGTATTGTGTGTTACAGAGTTTCATGTGTTAAAAATAACAGTGTAGTCCAATAAAACTTGAAAAAAAGGCTCATTTGTGAGAGCAGTTGGAGGAATCCAGCTTCATTCAGGCACAGGTTTTAAGGTGCAGGGCACAGCCCAGGTCATGGCATGTGAACTCGGTGCTGGTGACACTGTCCCCACAACAGAAGCTTCAAAAAGGAGAAGTGTTGATGGGTGTCTTTTGAGTGCATTCGAAGTAACAGCTTCTGTTTCTTTTGAAGGATAACGGTCACATTCAACATCAATAACAGCATTCCACCCTCGGTTGATGATGACGAACCACAAGAAGGGCAGAAACCTGATGAGCAGGAGGTAACTTGGTGTGGATGTGCACTTCAGTGACGGGTACACAGAGGGACGGTAGAACCTTGCCCTTAGGTGCTAAGGGGTTTTCTCCTCCCTCACTTGATATCTGAGAGCAGGAAGGCACAAAATGGAGATTTTTCTGGGTTGGCTGTGACCCTCCTCTCTGCAGCAGAGCAGGGTGAGAGAGCTCAAGGAGGAGAAATGAGAGAAACTTGGGTGTCTCTTTGTCTTTGCAACCCCCTGCAATAAATACTGCCTTTTGTTCTTAGCATAACGGAACACAGAGCTGCTCACATGCCTTAACTTGAGTGGTTTGGTTGGTCAGAAGCATCTCATTCCTGTTTAATAAAAATACCCATAAAAACTGTAAATGAGCAGTATAACTCGAGGCAGATGGCTTTATCTGCAGTGACACCGGTGCTGAACCTGTCAGGAATGTGGCTGCTGGGTGTGTAGCAGTTAACTTGTCCTTTCTGAAGGGCAGTATTGATTGCAGGGCGTTGCACTCAGCTGGGTGGGACAATAGTGGGGACACTTGTGGGTCACTTCCCCTGTGCTGAGAAGGTGCAGTGTGTGTCAGCTGTGCACAGTCCCTGTCTCTGCAGGCACGAGCTGCTCCCACTCTCAGAACAATCTGAGCCTGTTGCCCGTTCCTGTCACTCTGGGGGGACCCATCCAGGCTCTCTGGGTTGGCAGGGGGTGGCAGATGCTCCCAGGAAGGGGGTGACAGGGGACAACCTGCGCTGGATGGGCTGTTCCTGGCTGTGCTGCCATCACTTTGGCTCCTGTTCAGACTCCGGTGCTGATGCAACTGTTCTCTCCTTTAGCCTGAACTTACATCGACTCCAAACTTCGTTGTGGAAGTAATAAAAGATGACACAAAACAGACGCTTGTCCTTGACTGCCATTATCCTGAAGACGAGGTGGGTGTCAAACCGGTTGTGTGTCAGCCAGAGCCCGCTCTGGGCTGTGGGTGCAGAGTGATTGTGCTGCTGTTGAATCCAACTGCTTTTTATCAACTCTGGCTTTTCTGAGTCGGCAGAAAATGCAGCCTCCTCTGATCTCTCTGTTTTTAAACACAAAGAAAAGGGCATGTTTTTTGCAAGAACAGTCTCTGGGGAGGAGATGTTCCCTTGCCTTCCTCACATCCCCACCTGGCGTTTCCGATGGGCTGCTTATATCCCAGTTTCTGGAATTACACTGGAGGGGGAAGGTTTAACTTAAACAGTGTGGCAACTTGAGAGGGGTAAACGGCCATGGCCAGGACGAGATGGATTTAATACAGTGTGTCAGCAACTTGCAAATCTCATGGTTGTGAGTTGTCACAAAGAAAAAGGGCTTAAAAAGAAAGAGGAGTGGGGGACATGTGGCATTGAGAGCTTTGGTTCAGACTGGCGTTTATGATTTATTTTGTAAACCTTAACATCATTTATGCAGCTGGTCCTGGCTGACAGGGGTTAGGCAGATGTGTGAAGAAGTTTTTACATCTCTGTGAAGATCAGGCTGCTGGCAGTTCTTGCCTTTTAGAGGATTTCCTGTGTTCTTGGGCATGTCCCTGCTTGTCTTCAGGGCCTGGGGTGCAGCCTGCAGTGAAATATTCCTTGCTTTGGGATGAGATGCCTGAAGGCGCCCAGTAGAGCTAAGGCCTGTCATTATCTCCTCTCCTGTTTCAGGTTGGCCATGAGGGAGAGGAAGAAAGTGATATTTTCACGATTCGGGAGGTGAGTTTTCAGCCCACCGGAGAGTCGGATTGGAAGGACACCAACTACACCCTCAACACGGATTCCCTCGACTGGGTAAGTGCTGCTTCAACCTGCCTCACCCAGCTCTCCCTTTGTTCCCCAGTTACAGGGAGGGTGCCTGAGGCGAGGGATTTCCCTTCTCCACCCCACGAGATGAGGTTCTGCTGCAGAGGGAGGATTATTAGATTATTACCTGCTCCCCGCGGTCCTGCAGTGCTTGGGGCGTCAGGGACCCACGTGCCAAAACTTGTTCTGTTCCAGGTTTTATAAGTTGGTGATTTCCTGGCAGCTGTGTGACATTTCAGAGAGGCTTTCCCACTTGCTCAGATATCTTTTCATCTGTGTGTTTAATAATGTCGCTTATCAGATACCGTGTGTACACACCTGGGCTTGCCAGGTATGGTTTTGTGCTGGTGACACCGAAAGCCAGTCTGCCCCAGAATCTGGCAGCTGCTTATATTTTCTCAATGCTTTAAAAGCTTAAATCTTAGTTGGGGGCTGTGTATCCTGTGATTAAAACTTTACTCCTGGTGTCTCTCTCTTTAGGTTAGAATTGGTTAGTGTGCTCTAAAACATCTCACAGGGCTGTTTTTTTCCCCTCTCTGACTTGAGACAAAAAATAATTAAAAAACGTGTATGATTTGTGATCTGCTCAGATTTAAAAAGTCCAAAATTAGTCATTTGCTCAGTAATATTGGTCTGTTTAAAAAAAACCAAACCAAACAACCCCAAGAAGCACGTGGCAGGTCTGAGCATTAATAATGGATCTGTTCTCCTGAGGAGCGAGGGGGAACCCCCAAGCAGTAAGATACACTGGAGCTGCAACAGGTGGGTAGGATTAAAAAGAAGAAGAAAAAAAAAATTGTAAAAGATTTAGTCTCAAACAAATATTTAGATCAGATACCACCCTTTCCAGACACCCTTAAAGCAATTCATCCCAAGGCCACAGCACTGGAGTGAGGGGCAGAGCGTGGTGGGTGTCATCTCTGATGGACGTTACCTCCTGACTCCTTTTAAAAGCAACCCCTCCCCAGGTGTGCTCTGCTAAAGAAGCTTCCTCTTCATTGTCTCCAGGCTCTGTACGACCACTTAATGGATTTCCTGGCCGATCGAGGAGTGGACAACACCTTTGCTGATGAGTTAATAGAGCTCAGCACCGCGCTGGAGCACCAGGAGTACATCAAATTCCTCGAAGACCTTAAAAGCTTTGTCAAATGTCAGTAGGTCAGGGCAGGAAGTGTATCTCCAAGTGGTGGGTGTCACCCCGCGCTGCTCCAGGCAGCAATACCCAAATGTATCTTCACAACAGACACGGAGAGTAAGTAACTTTGAGTTTGGAAACCAGCATCATGGAAAAAGGAGGATTCTTGCTTGTATTTGAGGATTTGTATTTATGTTGTGGCCCAGATCAAGGTCTCTAACGTTACGGTCCCGGAATCGGCCTCACCCTACATGGTGGGTTTTGTACAATTAAGAATGAATGTGAAGAATAAAATCTGCTCAACATATCACTGAAAACTGATGGTTTCTCTCCTTCCTGCTGTGCCATTGCTGACCAGAGAGCTGCCATAAAAACCAGGGGAGGGGTCTGTCTGTGCCAGTGTCACTACACCTGCAGCGTGGTGTGTCCCAGCCTGGAGCATTCTCAAGGAAGAGCTATTCCAGCACCTTCCACCACGCAGGGTCCCTCTGTCAGAGCTGCAGCTGGAGCAGGAAGGTTTCTGGCCAGGAATGTGAATTATGAATGGGAATGTTACTCTAGAAGTCTTGGCTGGCTGGCTGTGTGTTAGGGAATAGAATTCAGTGTGTCTGAGGAGCTGTTTGAAAGAGGGATGTGCTACCATAAGCTATTTTTAGCAAAACACCACAGGGAGGTCAGAGGACTCCAGTTCCAGCAGAACGACTGTGGGTGCTGATGTCTGAGGCCACAGCTGTGGTGTCTGCTCACACCCCTGGCTCCACTTGTTGCCTGAAGCTGAAATCGAATTTGAGCTACAAGATGATTAAGACAACACAAAGGCTGAAATAAACTTAAGTATTTTTATTTCAAAACATATACTGTGCCATTAAAAGTGCAGGTCAAGGCAGTGCTACTGCCTTTTCAAGTGTCTTCTCAACACAGCGGATACAAGTATATACATAAAAACACTAGCAGCTCTGGGTGGATTTTCAGTCTTCCAGTAAAGTCCTTCCAGTAAAAAAAAAAGCAGCCAAATCAACTTACAGGAGAATTGTCCAGGAGTCACAGACCTTTACAAAAAAGAAGTTGAACAAAGAAGCTGTAGCAACATATAAAATGAATTATTGATGTTCAAAACAATTTGAAGTGCTGTGATCCTAACACCATGTAGGTACACACAGCGATTTTATGAAAACTGCAAAGCTGAAAACTTGGAAGCTGTAGCCTGAGCCCCAGGGCTGGGATGTGTTTTCTCAGAGGTATGGGTGAGCCTCGTGAGGAAGCTTAAACTGAAGTAAATTTTAAAACTTTTCTTCATTAATCATTTGCCCGAACAGACACTCCACACAAAACTTGGGGGTTGTTGGCTACAGCGTGAGAAAGGGCAGGCACCAGGTCTGACAGGTCCCCCCTAATCCAGCAGCTAAGAGCCAAATACCACAATTTACTTTCCTTTTACAGTTACTGGTGGTCAAAAGTAAACCTATTTCCAAGGAGATTTGACAAAACAGCAACACAAACCCCTGGGATCTGCCCCTGTCATGGAGACGTGGATCCCAGCAGAGATCCCTTCCAGGAAGCTGAGGTTGAGACTCACCGGGCAGCTCATGAGGAGACTGGCTTCCTCCTCCATCCCACTGGTAACTGTGAACTCGGGGTTGTGAAGGCACCTGTGACTGTGCTCTGTGACAGTGTTTTCTAGAAGTGACCGAAGCTTCTCTTCTGTCATACCCTGAGAAAAAAAACAGGTTAAAAAAAGAAATCTTGCACTGAAGTTGCTGTCTGTAGCTTCTAAGTGCCTCTTCGCAGCAGCAGACCTAAGATGTCACATTTAACAGGCCACTCAGCGCCACTTACCTGCGTCCTGATGTACAACCCACACTGGCAAAAAACCAAGTTACTCCTCACAGTGAGGTGATTCCTAGAAAGAGCACACAATGAGCATCACCACAACAACCAGAACAAAGCAAAAAAAAAACCCAAACTGTTAGATCTAGGAAATCATTGCTCAGGGTTGGGTTTTTTTTCCTGTTGAAATTAGCACTAGCAGCAGCCTCTGCCCCCTGCTTGTGCCTGTTTCTAAGCCCAAACTGCTGTAGGGGAGTGGAGACCCTCATTCCAAGGCCACGGGCTTTCTTACTTTCTGCACACCGGGCAGATGACCTCGTCGCTGGCATCCAAGCCATCGAGCATCGCGTTGAGACATTCTTCATCAAACTGCAGACTTCGCTCGTACTCTTCTATAACGGACTGTTCTGCAACAACACAGCAAAATACCCCCCCGGGGAACCTTTAGGAACTGAAAACAAAGCAGCACCCTGGAGGCTGGGGCAGCCACTGGTTTCTGACCTTTTCTTTCTTTGAATCAGATTTCTACACTTGAGGAAATCGTTCCTGTTAACCCAGTTTTTCCTGTGGCTCCACCTCAAGTCTGAAGTGGGCGCCTCCACTTTCCAACCAACAATTCAGAAAGATTCTGGATTGATTTATACAGTTTCCTACAGCTCCCAAACACCTCAGTGCTGTTTCTCTGCTCTCCTCTCTTCTTCGCTTGTCACAGATCTTAAAATGAAACTTAAAACTGTCAAAAAGAGTCACAGATGGAAACTGAGGCTACAGAGATTTCTAAGGAGGCTCTTCGATATCTCATGGCCCACAAGAACCAAGGAGTGCAGCCTCAGTGAGTTTGGATTACTAGAAATTCAGGAGCACTACAAATCAAAGAAGAGTCAGAAAATACGTAGAGAAGTTACCTTCCAAGATCAATTCCTGTTGGATCTCCTCCAGCACTGCTAGCTCATCAGGGTCCTCTAGCATCTGAAAGGTGCATCAGTCAGTGACTCTCCCATCCTGGCTACTTTCTCACTTAACTTCCAGCACCTGACTGAGCTGCCACTGCAACGTAAATTCATTCTGCTTATTCTTCTGTCTGGTAAATCCCCGTATTTGCAAAGCCATGCACCCTGTAAAGCAATCTCTCATATTACCACCTGTGCAAAGCCAGCCACAATGGAAAGAACACAGCCTGTCCAGGAACTTGCTTTTTAAAATGTTAACATTTTACTCCCGTTCTCAGGAGCAGTCAGTGACACCAGTCCCACCACCCTGTGCTGTGATTCTCATGCAGTTTGTGAAGGAAATAAGGAAGTTCCCCACTCGTGGGCCCCAAAACAAGCAGTTTCACAGCACCACACCCCATACCAGCTGCAGCAGCAGGAACCGGTGAGTGCTGCCAGCTCCAGCTGAGGTGACAGCTCCAGACACGGAGACTGCCCGTCACCCGCGTCAGACACGGACCGCGTTGATGCTGGAGATGGCAGCAGCCCCAGAGCGTGTACTGACCTGGGCCAGGGCCTCCTTGCCCCCGGGGGCCGGCGGGCTCTCCTGCAGCCCCTGCCACTCCAGCTCCATCACCTCCTGCACCAGCAGCGCACCCGCCGCCGGCCCGTACACCCTCTCCCCGGCCTGGCGGTACCGGTCCAGCAGCTTGGCCCGGCTGCTCCTCAGCCTCTCCATGCAGCGCTGTGAGGAGGGGGGAGAGCAAACCGCAGAGGGCCCGTCAGTACCGGGAACGGGGGGACGGCTCCCATCGGGGCCCGGCCTCCACCGGCCCGCGGCGGCGCCGGGCCCGCACGGAGCGGGGTTGGGAAGGGGCCAAGCCGGGCCTGCCTCACCCGGAGAGGGAGAACCGAGCCCGGCCGGCCCACAGCGGGGGCGGGGGAACGAACCGAGCCCGAAGGAGCGCGCAGAGCCGCCCGCCCCACTCACCTGGCGGTAGGTCTCCTTCCATGGCGGCGCGGCCGGGCCCTTGTACCGAGCGCGGTGCCGCCGCACCGGCGCCTCCATCGCCCGCTCTGGCGCCGCGGGGCACGCCGGGAAATGTAGTCCCGGCTCGGAGTGACCGGGTAGGGGTGGGGTGAGGCGGCTCCGCCGATTGGCGGCGCGGAAGGTGACGCCATCGCCGCGCGGCGCGGAGGTTGCGCGGAGGCGATGGCGGCCGAGTGGGGCCCGGCGGAGCAGTGGCGTGCGGCCCTTCCGCAGCACGCGGTGTTCAGCCGCCTCCGCG